GATGTAAACTGAGGAAAAAAAAAAACGGATGTAAACTGAGGGAAAAAAAATGTATGTAAACTGAGGAAAAAATGGATGTAAACTGATGAAAAAAATGGATGTAAACTGAGGAAAAACGGATGTAAACTGATGAAAAAAAACGGATGTAAACTGATGAAAAACAGATGTAAACTGATAAAAACCAGACGTAAACCTAGGAAAAAATGGATGTAAACTAATGAATAAATGGATGTAATCTGATGAAAAACAGATGTAGACTGATGAAAAAAAACTGGATGTAAACTGATAAAAAAACAGATGAAAAATGATGAAAAATGGATGCAAACCGATGAAAAACGAATACAAACTGATCCACTTTTTCTTGGTAAAAACGTGACTGAACTAATGAAATAAATGGAACGCTTGTGTGAAAGGGTCCTAAGGGGTCATGGTTAGATGGTAAGCAAGTACTCCATTACGAAAACGGATGAAAATAGATGTAAAACGGATGAAAAATAGATGACAAATCTGATGTAAACATGAAAAAACGGATGTAAACTGACGAACAAACAGATGAAACTGATGATGTAAAACTGATGAAAAATGTATGTAAACTGATGAAAAAAACGGATGTAAACTGATGAAAAATGGATGTAAAATTATGAAAAATGGATGTAAACTGATGAAAAAAACGGATGTAAGCTGATGAAAAAATGGATGTAAAATAATGAAAAATGGATGTAAACTGACAAAAAAAAAAAACGGATGCAAACTGATGAAAAAATGGATGTAAACTGATGAAAAAATGGATGTAAACTGATGAAAAACGGATGTAAACTGATGAAAAAAAATGGATGTAAAATGATGAAAAACGGATGTAAACTGATCTGTTTTTTTCCTTGGGAAAAAACGAGACTGAACTGATGAAATAAATGGAACGCCCATGTGAAAGGGTCCTAAGGGGTCATGGTTGGTTGGTAAGCAAGTACTCCATTACCACTCTGGGTGTAAACCGGCTGTTGGTGGCACGACATATCTAAGATCTCGGAAGGAGGCGTGGATCACCCCCCCTGTAAACTCAGCCATTTGTAGCCAATCACTTCTCATTGGCACACAAAGCCATTTGACTTGAGCTATGACCATCTGGGGTCATTTTGATTGGCTCAGCATTAGGGAACATTGTGTATTACATTGTATCAATATTCCGTCCACGATTTGTACACCGGGGGGGGGGGGGGGGGGGGGGGGTACAGGGAATATTTTTATCTGCCAGCTTTTGACTAAAATCCAATAAAATAGTAGGGTTGGATGCATTTTTTTTGTGCAGATTATTTCTGTTGTTTATTTCCCGTTGCAGATTTTCCCTCCCAGTGTGGTGAAATGTTGTCCCCAAAACAGAAAGTCAGGGAAATCGTTCTAACGGAGCTCTAGATAGCAGTGAGCCTCCAATCACACTGCAATTTCCAAGGCCAGGAGTTGTGCTTGCGCACATTTTCTTTGCACCTTTTTTTAACCTCTCACCCTCCTGAGGATCCCCCCCCCCCCCCCCTCTGACCAGGCCTTGTTTGGCGTTACGGCGCTGCGTTACTTTAACTGACAATTGCGCGGTCATGCAACGCTGCACCCAAATAAAATTTACACCCTTTTTTTCACACGAAATTGAGCTTTTTTTGTGGTATTTGAGCACCTGTGTGTTTTTTATTTTTTGTGCTTTTAAAAAAAAAGACCGACAATTTTGAGAAAAAAACTATATTTTGGAATTTTTGCTATTAAACATGTCCAGTAAAAAAAATTTAAAAATTCAGTTTTCGTCAGAAATTTAGGCCAAAATGTATTCTGCTCCGTGTCTTTGCTAAAAAAACAACCCCAATACGTGTAAATTAATTGGTTTACGTGAAAGTTATAGCGTTTACAAATGGCGGTATAGATACTGGATTTGTTTTTTTCTACTAGTAATGGCGGCGATCAGCGACTTATAGCGGGACTGCGGCGGACATTTTGACACTTGGGGGGAACTAACTTGGTGTCACTGACATCCCCAGTGACACCAATACAGTGATCAGTGCTACAAAAAAGCACTAACAGTGTACTAATGGCACTGGACAGGAAGGGGTTAGTGTGAGGGGCGATCAAAGGGTTAACTGTGTGTAGGGAGTGTTTTACTAGGGGGGCGGGGTGTGCTTCACTGTAGTCACACTGCTCTGGATGGCTGTGCTGTGCAGTGTGCTCGAGCTGACAGGGAGGTAGACTGTAAACAAAACCCTCCCCTTTTGAGATGCTCCTTAATCACCCGGCGTTGGCGGGTAATTACTGCCCCGGGGCCCAGTGATTGACAGCTGCGGCTGCGCTCCCTACACGGAAATGCAAAATCATATATATATATACAGGGGCGGACTGACCATTTGGAAACTCGGGCACTGCCCAAGGGCCCGGGATCAGTAGGGGGCCCATGAGATGCCCCTGGTAACTTTTTTATAGGCTCTTTTGAGTTTGGGCAAGGACACAGGGGCCCCATGATCCCCTATTGCCCGGGGGCCCCATGAGTTATCAGTCCACCCCTGTATATGAATATATATACGTGATTTTGCTCACCCGTGCTGCCCTGTAGCAGTATTTCTGCTATAGGACGGTTGGGAAGCTGTTAAGCTTTGAGCGAATATTTACTAAAACTGGAGCAGCTCAGGATCTGGTGCAGCCCTACATGGCAGCCAATCAGCTTCTAACTTCAGCTTGTTCAATTAAGCTTTGGAAATAAAACCTGGAAGCTGATTGGTCACTATGCAGAGCTGCACCAGATTTTGCACCACTCAGTGTTAGCAAATAACCCCCAAGAGTCTGTAATCTGCAGAAAATTTCATTTTTTTAATTTTCTTTGATTGTCAGCTCCATCTAGTGGGCATAACGCAGTATTTTTCTGAGATACTGCAATCAGGAAAATACTGCATTATGGCCACTAGATGGAGCTGACAATACTAGAAAATAAATAGAAAATCATGCATATATTACATACCTTCAATTCTCCAGGTCAAAAAAAACATCTGCCTCAGAAATGCGGGTGCCAATAATGTGTTTTTTTTGCATGCTGCATGAATGTGTGCAAAATTGTGCAATTTTATGTGTGTTCGCAAAATTCTATAGAATAAAAGCAGCATTATACCTGAAGAATTCTGAAATTTCTCTCATCTGACTAAAACTAAAACCGTTTGGGCTATGGATACACTTTAAAATCAGAATATGAGGTCTAAAATCAGTGGGAGACAAGTATGGAATGACAGTAGTTACAGTGCCTTGAAAAAGTATTCATACCCCCTTGAAATTTCCCACATGTTGTCATGTTACAACCAAAGACGTAAATGTATTTTATTGTGATTTGATGTGATAGACCGACACAAAGTGGCACGTAATTGTGAAGTGAAAGGAAAATGATAAATGTATTTCAACATTTTTTACCAATAAATATCTGAAAAGTGTGGCTTGCATTTGTATTCAGCCCCCTTTACTCTGATACCCCTAACTAAAATCTAGTGGAACCAACTGCCTTCAGAAGTCACCTAATTAGTAAATCCACCTGTGTGTCCTGTAATCTCGGTATAAATACAGCTGGTCTGTGAAGCCCTCAGAGGTTTGTTAGAGAACATCAGTGGTCAAACAGCATCATCAAGGCCAAGGAACACACCAGACGGGTCAGGGATAAAGTTGTGGAGATATTTAAAGCAGGGTTAGGTTATAAAAAATATCCCAAGCTTTGAACATCTCACGGAGCACTGTTCAATCCATCATCTGAAAATGGAAAGAGTATGGCACAACTGCAAACCTACCAAGACATGGCCGTCCACCTAAACTGACAGGCCGGGCAAGGAGAGCATTCATCAGAGAAGCAGCTAAGAGGCCCCATGGGAACTCTGGAGGAGCTGCAGAGATCCACAGCTCAGGGGGGAGAATCTGTCCACAGACAACTATTAGTCGTCACTCCACAAATCTGGCCTTTATGGACAAGTGACAAGAAGAAAGCCATTGCTGGAAGAAAGCCATAAGAAGTCCCTATTGCAGTTTGAAGGAAGCCATGTGGGGGACACAGCAAACTTGTGGAAGAAGGGAATCTGGTCAGATGAGACCAAAATGGAACTTTTTGGCCTAAAAGCAAAACTCTATGTGTGGCAGAAAACTAACACTGCACATCATCCTGAACACACCATCCCCACTGTGAAACATGGTGGTGGCAGCTTCACATTGTGAGGATGCTTTTCTTCAGCAGGGACAGGGAAGCTGGTCAGAGTTGATGGGAAGATGGATGGAGCCAAATACAGGGCAATCTTAGAAGAAAACCTGTTAAAGTCTGTAAAAGACTTGAGACTGGGGCGGAGGTTCCCCTTCCAGCAGGACAACGACCCGAAACATCCAGCCAGAGCTACCATGGAATGGTTCAGATCAAAGCATCTTCATGTGTTAGAATGGCCCAGTCACAGTCCAGACCTAAATCCAATGGAGAATCTGTGGCAAGACTTGACTGGTCAGCAGGAGGAAATATATAGAGGGGGGGTGGCAATTACTGAAACCTATCCCCTGTCTGAAAGCCAGCAGGAGGGAGAGGAGAAGAAGCCGGCTTTCAGCTGTTGCAGAGAGGGGATTGGCTCCAGTAATTGCAGCCCCCTCCCCGCCATGCCAACCACCCTCCCTTCCCACATCCGACTTACTCTGGGCATGGGCCCCCCTGCTGACCTGGGCCCCGTACAGGAAGACTGGTGGTACCACCTTATCTACAGCCCTGGCTGCGCTTCCAAAGCCTGAAACATGAGACTATCAGAGCTGATGTACATTGCACACCTAGAGTTGGCACAGATAGGCATTTGTCTTTTTTTTTCAGCAACCGATCTTGGTAATGCCACCAGTCAGCCATTTTTTCCCCATTGAGTATAAAATCTGCATTTTTGTTCTCCGGACAGTTTTTGGTGGAGGGACAAATCACACAGGAAACGCTGTATTTTTAAAGTTGTATTTATTGCGGTCAGCTTGGCTCCGAGTCACCGTGCGGCAGGGATGGGGGTCATAGACAGAGTGGCTGTGAGGTCCCGGGATGGTTCCTTAGTGCTGGATGCGGCGGATGGACTGGATCTGGTTAGTGTGGGCCTGAGTGCTGTATTCATTATAGTTCCTGTATTCACCATTGTGCCTGTCTCTTTCCAGCACATACTGGTATCCTCTGTATCCGGGGAACTGATATGCCACCCAGCTGCGGGCATAGTAAACAGAGAAAGACAAAAAGGAGGTGAGCAAGCGTGAGCAACCTGGGACCAGCTGATGAACTACAAGTCCCTGCATGCCCTGCCAGGGTAGGGAGGGATCTGCAGTCCCTTGAAGTGCACCTGTCATACACAGAAGCAGCTCTTCATTCTAAAATGGAATTCTACACAACGTAAGTTGTAGCAATGGATATACTTTGTTGAAATATCCCCAGGAGAAGACATCAGCCTACACAGAATACAAATATTCAAAACTGAACCCCCGTATAGTAAGAGACCGCAATCTGCGAATATGTCAGGTACAGGGGCGGACTGACAACTCATGGGGCTCCCGGGCAACAGGGGATCACGGGGCCCCTGTGTCCTCGCCCGCACTCAAACCACAGCCAAAAAAGCCTATGAAAGGTTCCAGGGGAATCTCATGGGCCCCCTACTGACCCCAGGTCCTCGGGAAGTGCCCGACTGCCCAAATGGTCAGTCCGCCCCTGGTCAGGTAATCCATTGCTGGGAAAATGCAACATGAGTCCCTTAGCCCAGGTTCACACTGATGCGGTGCGGAATTTGCAGTGTTTTCAGTGCGAATTCCGCACCAGAATCGCACCCCATTCATGCGAACCGCTGCGGGTGTGTATGTTAACCCCTTTGTGCCTAAGGGTAAAACAAATCTAAATGCCTAAGCACAATTTTGCAACATTAACATGTGTTAGTAAAACCGTACATATCATCACAACTACTTTGTACATCCAGGTGGATTATACCTCGTCTTTTTCAGGACAAATTGGGTTTTCATTTGGTGGTAAATGTTAATAGATATCTCCTGATTTTTTTTCATTATCAAAGGGAAACTGTCCCAAAATAGTAAAAAAACATAATTTTTTTTTTAATTTAGCTGTATGTTTCTTGTTACTACCATAACCTACCACCAAAGAACAACCCAAAATAAATTCTCTTCACAATCGCAGCGATACCCTACATGTGTATGTTATTTGTTGCTTGTACCTGTACTACAGCCCAGAAACAATAGTGTGCATTTTGTTTTTGTTTGTTTTTTTAACCTAAAACACACTGACACTGATACTAACTGACACTGATACCAATTTTTTTTAAAACTTGACCTTTGACCCTGACCTTTACCGTTGACTCTGACCTTAACCCAGACACTTACCCTGGCACTGAACTAGATCAAACCTTGATCTAGGTATTTTGTCTTTATTTTTTATTTTATTTTTTAATATTTTTTTTTTATCTTTTTTTTTTTTTTTTTACAAACTTTTTTTTCCTCTCTATGCCAGGAGTTAGAGAGATACAATGATACATATAGTTTTACATATATTTGTAAATGCATTCCAAAAATGTAGATTAAATGTATTTTTAAAGACATACAGTATATTTGAAAATGTATTTTAAAGAATATTTTTCAAATATTTTGTAATATATTCAATACGGCCAAAGTTGGAGTATTTCAAATATATGTCAATATATTTGGGAAGAATATTTTTAAAATATATTTAAAATAAATTTTTCTTCCATGTTGGATGAAGCAAAAGAAAAATTTGGGAACATAGTTACATAGTTAGTCTGGCTGATAAAAGGCAAAAGTCCATCCAGTTCAACCATAGAAGAAAAGGTTATAATTCTACACCCACAGTTGATCCAGAGGAAGGAAAATGGTAATGGATATCTCCTGATATTTTTTATTATCAAAGGAAAACTGGCAAAAAATAGTAAAAAAAAAATATTTTTTTTTTTATTTAGCTGTGTGTTTCTTGTTGCTACCATAACTTACCACCAAAAAACAACCCAAAATAAATTCTGCAGCTCCTGACGATCGCAGCGATACCATATATGTGTATGTTATTTGTTGTTTGTACCCGTAGTACAGCCCAGAAACAATAGTGTGCATTTTGGTTTTGTCTTTTTTTGACTTAAAACACACTGACACTGACAGTAACTGACACTGATACCAAATTTTATTTTTTAAATCCTGACTTTTGACCCTGATATTTTGACCTTGACCTTTGACCCTGACCTTGACCCAAACACTTACCCTGGCACTGAACTAGCTCAAACCTTGATCTCAGTATTTTTTCTTTTATTTTTTAATATTTATTTTATTTTTTTTACAAACTTTTTGTTTTCCCCTCTATGCCAGGCGTTAGAGAGATACAATGTATAATGGGATGTATATGATGATACAATGTATAATGGGATGTATATGATGATACAATGTATAATAGGATGTATATAATGATACAAGGTATAATAGGATGTATATAATGATACAATGTATAATAGGATGTGTATAATGATACAAGTATAATAGGATGTATATAATGATACAATGTATAATAGGATGTATATAATGATACAATGTATAATAGGATGTGTATAATGATACAACGTATAATAGGATGTATATAATGATACAAGGTATAATAGGATGTATATAATGATACAATGTATAATAGGATGTATATAGTGATACAATGTATAATAGGATGTATATAATGATACAATGTATAATAGGATGTATATAATGATACAATGTATAATAGGATGTGTATAATGATGTATAGGATGTATATAATGATACAAGGTATAATAGGATGTATATAATGATACAATGTATAATAGGATGTATATAATGATACAATGTATAATGGGATGTATATAATGATACAATGTATAATAGGATGTGTATAACAACAATGTATAATAGGATGTATATAATGATACAAGGTATAATAGGATGTATATAATGATATAATGTATAATAGGATGTATATAATGATACAACGTATAATAGGAATGTATATAATGATACAACGTATAATAGGATGTATATAATGATACAATGTATAATGGAATGTATATAATGATACAACGTATAATAGGATGTATATAATGATACAATGTATAATAGGATGTATATAACGATACAATGTATAATAGGATGTATATAACGATACAATGTAGAATAGGATTTATATAATGATACAATGTATAATAGGATGTATATAATGATACAATGTATAATAGGATGTATATAATGATACAACGTATAATAGGATGTATATAAACGATACAATGTATAATAGGATGTATATAATGATACAACGTATAATAGGATGTATACAACGATACAATGTATAATAGGATGTATATAATGATACAATGTATAATAGGATGTGTATAATGATACAATGTATAATAGGATGTGTATAATGATACAATGTATAATAGGATGTATATAATGATACAATGTATAATAGGATGTATATAATGATACAACGTATAATGGAATGTATATAATGATACAACGTATAATAGGATGTATATAATGATACAATGTATAATGGAATGTATATAATGATACAACGTATAATATGATGTATATGATGATACAATGTATAATAGGATGTATATAATGATACCATGTATAATAGGATGTATATAATGATACAATGTATAATAGGATGTATATAATGATACAACGTATAATATGATGTATATAATGATACAACGTAAAATAGGATGTATATAATGATACAATGTATCTCTCTCCTCCATTCATAGAGAGAGGAAAAAAAAACAAGGGGGCTGGGCTATACAGTGACTGATCACTTTGATAGCCAATCAGAGACTATCACAGTGATCATGTGACCGGGAATCGGGAGTCCCGGGTCCCAATCGTGCGGCGCGCTCCCAGCACAAAGTCAGTTACGCAAATATACGGCCTCGCGGAGCAAAGGCCCAGTTCTCTGATGCCGCATATTTGTGTTATGTCGGCGTCAAGGGGTTAAGTTAACAACACCTCAAAATCGGTCCACAAAACGTGGTGCGATGTGCAGAATCAGATCGCATAGGTGTGAATACCCGTGCGATCCGATTCTAGTGCTGATCCAAAAAACGGTCCTGCACCTTTTTGGTGCGGATGCGGTGTGATTGGAGCCATACAAAATGTACGGCTCCGATCGTACCGCACACAAATCGCATGTGATTTGCACAGGAATGCGGTGCGGTTCCTGTGTAAATCACATGCGATGTACCGCACCACATGTATGTGAACCCAGGCTTAAGGCTAGATTCACACCTATGCAGCTTGCATTTGAACCGTTTCTGCATTGCGTTTTGTGTTTTTGCACCTGCGTTTTGCTTTTTTTTTTTTTTTTCATTTTTAAATTTTTTTTCTTGTTGCTAGGCAGATTTAAAACGCATCAAAAACGCTGCAAAAATGCAATACATGCTTTTCTGCAGGGTTTCCATTGCAGTCTATAGAAACAAAAACTCAACTTTTTGCTTTAAAAAAATCCCTGACCCTTTCCAAAAACCGCAGTGGGTGAAAATGCGGAGATGTGATCCTGTCATAGAAATCATGTTAAATGGACTGTACTGCGTTTCTGCAAAATGCAAAACACGGCAGAAAACGCTTAGGTGTGAACCTGGGGTAAAGGGGTTGTAAACCTCAGACATGAAATATGGACAAAGCATACTCCTCAATAGTGTGTACTTGTCTCAATCCAGAGCACTAAGGAGCTGATTTACTAAAGGCAAATAGATGGTGCACTCTGCAAGTGCAGTTGCTCCAGAGCTTAGTAAATGAGCAGAAGCTCTTCTGACTTCCATCATCCAATCATGAGCAGGGGCAGACTGACAACTCATGGGGCCCCTGGGCAATAGGGGATCATGGGGCCCCTGTGTCCTTGCCCAAACACAAAAAAGCCTATGAAAAAGGTACCAGGGGCATCTCATGGGGCCCCCTACTAACCCCGGGCCCTCGGGCAGTGCCCGAGTTTCCAAATGGTCAGTCTGTCCCTGATTATGAGCCAGCAAAAATTGCTGTTTTTTCTTTCTTGCATTTGATTGGGCATTATTTTCAAAGTGAAGCTTCCCCTCATTTACTAAGCTCTGGTACGACTGCACTTGCAAAGTTCACAGTCTATTTGCCTTTAGTATATCAACCTCTCAGTGTCATTTCTGTCTGCTGCCTCCTTTCTCTGCTATCAGCATGAATCACTTCTGACGAGTTTTCCTGACACCAAGGGAAAAACGGTGACAGGGGAGGGAGCCGCAGCAGATTGACAGCCTCAGCTCTGTTCCTGTGAGCTCTGTGGAGGGGAGGGTGTCTCTTCCCACCAATCAGCTCTCAGAGCTTTCCTCATTGAGCTCTGCAGTGTGTAATTTTAGCTCACCACCTCCTTTTTTTTAACTCTGAGACAAGCTTTATAAATTCAGCACTTTGAACTGCTATAGAAAAGAGTGACTGCACATAAACAGGTACAACTTATGCAGGAGGATTTGTGTCATCTCTGTGTATCACCTGAGGCCAGTCACTTCACTGGGGATATGGAAAGGTTTCCAACCACTTTAAAGTGGGCCTAGCCTCAGATCTATTTCCCTATTACATACTCGGCTTCTGCTTCCTTCTTTGTAGTGCTGCACAATGGTTGGGGTGTGCGGCTTCTTACCATCATGCAGCTCTGACCCAATGAAAGCAGTGAGCTCACCAGATGGATACAGGGTGGCTGCTCAATACAGTATATAGTATAGCAAGCACGTAAAATATGACAGATAAAAAAAAATGAATTTAAAGCGGAGCTCCGGTTGTTTTTGTAAAAATTAAAAGTCAACAGCTGCAAAAACTTTAGCTGCTGACTTTTAATAAACAGACACTTACCTGTCCCCAGATCCAGTGCTGTGCTCCCCCGAGGGGGCGCCGGGGACTGTCTTCAACATCTTTTAAACACATTATGATTGCTAATACCGATGTATTTCATTGATATTTGCAATCATTGTTACTGAATGAAACTGATTCATTCAGTCTTTTGTTGTGATTAGCTGTGATTGGGCAAAGCTGATCACATGATACAGATGGGCTGTGATTGGCTCTGTCTGTATCATGTGACTGCCTTGACCAGTCACAGCTAACAACATAATTGTATACACTATATTGAATACTTTATTAATAAAGGGTTACAGGGCTTACGCGTTTCAGTAAAAAACTTTATTCATCATTCTCTGAGTGGTGCCTGTGCCGGTGGTGACCTAGGAAGCAAGTGGAGATCACTGGAGTATCAATGTCTGAACAATGATTTCCAGCTTCTAGAGGGATCCCACAGGTATGGTATATACATAGTTACATTAGTCCAAGCTGCAACAATGTAACAATTTTGAAATATCCATACCAGGAATTAAAGCGGAGTTCCACTCAAAAGGAGAAGTTCCGTTTATTTGCTTCCCCCCTCCCCCCCTACTGCCATGTTTAGCACCTTTTGACAGGTACCCACTGTTTGCTCCCGCAGTTTCCTGGGAACTTTCACAGCTCCCAGACATTGCCGGACCAATCAGGAGGCGCAGCGCGACTTTCGCATGTGCAGTGGGCACCATGCTGTGAAGCTGCAAGGTGCCCGCAGTTGAGATGCTGGCGCGTGGAGGAGAGAAGGGGGAAGGGACGGTGCGGGTGAGCAGCACATCGCTGGACCCAGGGACAGGTTAGTGTGGGTTTATTAAAAGGCAGCAGTTACAGTTTTTTTGTAGCTGCTGACTTTTAACCTCTTCATGCCGGCCTCGCACAAATGTGCGGCCTCCCGGCGTCTGGGCCTAGACGCCGAGCGGCCGCACATTTGCGTTCTATTAAAAAAGGTCATATGTGCTGAGAACGTGCGCCCTGTGCACTCCCAGCACACAAGTCCGGTACTCACGGAAAGGTCCCGATCTCCTCTTTCGATCGGGACAAGGGGTGGACTGACCATTTGGAAACTCGGGCACTGCCCGAGGGCCCGGGGTCAGTAGGGGGCCCCATGAGATGCCCCTGGTACCTTTTTCATAGGCTTTTTTGAGTTTGGCCAAGGACACAGGGGCCCCATGATCCCCTATTGCCAGGGGGCCCCATGAGTTGTCAGTCCGCCCCTGATCGTGACCTTTCCCAATCATGTGACCACCGTGATGGCACGTCACTGCGGGTCACATGACCCTAAACCCCGCCCTGCCTCCCACCTTCTGGAACCCTTAAAGGGCCGGGAGGCGCCGGCGTGAAGGGGTTAATAAACACAAAAACATCTGGAACTTCGCTTTATGCTTTAAGTCTAGGTTCACACCTACGCAGGTTGCGTTTGAGCCGTTTCTGCATTGCATTTTGCATTTTTGCTGCATTTTTTCCATTTTTTAAATTTTTCTTGTTGCTAGGCAGATTTAAAATGAAAAATGCAGCAAAAATGCAGCAAAAAACACACTACATGCTTTTCTGCAGCATTTCCATTGAAGTCTATAGAACCAAAACCGCAACTTTTTGCTTCACCCCGACCCCGACCCGTTCCAAAAAATGTACCAGGTGAAAACATACAAATGTGAACGTGTCCCATAGGAAATCATGTTAAATGGACTGCATTTCTGCAAAACTCTGCAGAAAACGCTTAGGTGTGAACCTAGGGCAGGGGCAGACTGACCATTCGGGCACTCAGTCACTGCCTGAGGGCCCGGGGTCAGTAGGGGGCCCCATGAGATACCCCTGGTAACTTTCATAGGCTTTTTTGGGTGTGGTTTGAGTGTGGACGAGGACACAGGGGCCCCATGATCCGCTATTGCTCGGGGGGCCCCATGAGTTGTCAGTCCGCCCTGACATAGGGTAAAGTAGATGTAAATCCAATCACTAAAATCTAGAAACTAACATGTTCTTGTAAATTCATTTGGTTTCTTTTTGACAGAGTCACTTTAAATCAAACTTCAATGGCTTTATACATGTGCGTTGTGGAAACGTGCGCCAAAACGCAAGGAGTAATGCCCAATATATGTGCTGTGATGCACTGCGATGCATTGGGCTCCTGTCTACTATGCATTAGGATGGCATTTATAATGAATGGCTTTGCAATGCATGGCACATAGAGCAGGTGTGTTGCGTAGACTTGTGGCAAGATGCGTTGGCACATGCGCTTTGCTCATGAGCGTTAACAATGTGTAACGCACCGCACATGACTACTAAGCTTTGTGATGCGCAAAAGGGTCATGCGCGCTTTTTCATTGGTGATTGGTAGCTCGTTCATAACCAACACAAGGCACGTTAACGCATTCCATAATGTCCCTTATGGCAGCACAATGTAACCCTTTAATGTGAATGAGCCCCTTACAAATATTGCTGTGCCTGAGAATCCTCCCATTATAAGCCCCTAATATTTCAGATTACACAGATGAATGAGTTGCGTCCTTTCCTGTACCTTCTATTCAGAGAGCTTCCCCCACTCCTAGAAGCCACCATCTTGCTTCTACTATCACACATGGGGGTTGGGATGAGTCAGTTCTGAGCAGAGGTGTGTCCCTAGGGTTGGTGTCAACCGGTGCGGTAACACTTGGTGACACCCCCTCCGACGATCCCCGCAGAATGGATCGGATCTGCGGATTGAGCGTAATGGATCGGAGTCCGATCCATTATGCTCCCCAGTCTGCAAATCTGATCCATCCTGCGGGGATTGTCTGCTTTCTTTACAACTTACCTTTTCATGTAGAGGGTCCTGTGTCACCTCGTGCCGTAGGTGTCACCTGCCTCGGGACGCCACTGGTTCTGAGACCCCTCACATGCCTATTACTGACATTTGGCAATAAGAACTCTTGAACCTATTTAGATACTCATGGGAGAGGTCAACCTGCCTGGCAAAGCAGAGGAGGAACCTTGGTGTGGGCTGGTGGGCCATAGGGAAGGGGAAATTCTAGACTCTCTAAGAAAGTCAGGACCGGGACAACGTCATCTAGCGCCCAGGGTGAATATGCCAAACTGTACCCCCCTATAATGTGTGAGCATTCTGTGTCAGAAAAATCCCCTCTTTCGCCCCCTCCCCGCCAAAAAAAAAATCAAGCATTAATCTGCATTCTTAAGCCCCCCCCCCCCCCCCCCCCGCCCAAGCATGAATTCTCTTAGCAAGCCAAATTTTTCCCAAACAAAAATCCCCTCTCCTATCAGGGTTAAAAATCCACCCCCCCTGATGAAGTCCCCCCCTCCCAGCTCAAATCCTCTCTCTCCCCAAATCCCCCCTCCTAGCATAAATCCCCCCTCCACAATCACCCCTCTTAGCACAAATCCACCCCAAAAAAATTGACCCCAAAATTCCCCTCCTTGCACAAATCCCCTCTTCTAGCACCCCCAAAATCCCCCCACTTAGCAAAAATCCTCCCCCCCAGCACAAATCACACCAAATTACCCCTTCTAGCACCCCCCTTCAAACGTCCCCTCCTAGAACAAAATGTATCCCCCTTCCGCCCCCCAAATTCCCCCTCCCAGCACAAATCCCCTCCCTCCACCCCCCAAATCACCCCTCCTAGCATTTCACCCAACAAAAAATTCTCCTTCTAGGATAAGTCTTACCCCAGTGACTCCCCCTATTTCCTCCTTCCAGCACAAATTCCCCCTTTCTAGCACCCCCAAAATCCCCCCACTTAGCAAAAATCATCTCCCCCCAGCACAAATCATTCCAAATCACCCCTTCTAGCACCCCCTTCAAATTCCCCCTCCTAGAACAAATTGTATCCCCCTGCCGTCCCTCACATTCCCCCTCCCTGCACAAATCCCCTCCCTCCATCCCCCAAACAGGAGCAGACTGACCATTTGGAAACTAGGGCACTGCCCGAGGGCCCAGGGTCAGTAGGGGGCCCCATGAGATGCCCTTGGTACCTTTTTCATAGGCTTTTTTGAGTTTGGGCAAGTACACAGGGGCCCCATGATCCCCTATTGCCCGGGGGCCCCATGAGTTGTCAATCTGCCCCCCCCAAATCACCCCTCCTAGCACTTCCCCCCACAAAACATTCTCCTTCTAGGACAAATCTTACCCCAGTGACTCCCCCTATTTCCTCCTTCCAGCACAAATCCCCCCTTCCCCTGTTACATCACAAATCCCCCCACCTAGCACTAATCCTCTTCTCCCTCCCCCCTCCTAGCACAAATACATTCATCCCCATCACAAATGTTTGTCCCCTCTGGCAGGAACTCTCATGGATGCCCACCCCAACTTCACATGATATCAGCGCCCTGGGCAGCTGTCCCTCTTGCCCACCCCTTGTCCCGGCCCTTTCTGTTTGTCTTCAAGATCTTAAGCTTCAGACTGGAATGTGACCATCAAGAAGGTTTTTCACCTACGTGTGGATTCACCTCAGGTCTTTTCATGGAACAATTCACAAGGAAGAGAAGGAAATATCTGAGTACTCACGCGCCAGAGCTGACCTTGACGGAGGCCACCTCTTGGTGCACCATCCCATGGCCTGCAGGGAGGGGTAGTCATCGCACAACTCAAACTTGCGGCCTTGGAAGTTCTCTCCTTCGTATAGGGTCACTTTGCTATCACTGTGGTTCTGGGGGGGAGGGAGAAAGAAATGTCTTATAAGAGCCATGGACAGCACAGTGTAGAGGCAGCCATGTTCGGTACAAGCAATGTTCACAGGCATGCACAATATGAACGCACTGATTGGCTGAACCAATATCCAGCCTATCAATTCATAAGGTAATTCCAATCGATCCCGTAGGCTGGATGTTCCTCCAGACAAAATAAACTCAACTCAAAAAGCTAACAAACCAGGATATGGATACAGTTTTTCAAAAAAGTGACAAAGTATTTTTAGCTGAGCCCAATGAGATGAAAAAATTACGGTCACATGGCTAAAAAAAGTATACACTTGAATCTTTTTGTTCAAGATTGAGTCTAATGACTGCTAAATCTATACATACCAACCAGGGGCGGACTGACCATTTGGAAACTCGGGCACTGCCCGAGGGCCCGGGGTCAGTAAGGGGGCCCCATGAGATGCCCCTGGTACCTTTTTCATAGGCTTTTTTGAGTTTGGGCAAGGACACAGGGGCCCCATGATCCCCTATTGCCCGGGGGCCCATGAGTTGTCAGTCCGCCCCTGATACCAACAAATTCCTAAAGCCTAACTGCAGCCAGATCTTTTCTTTTGGTTGTAGTGGGGAAGAATTTAAAATTTCAGTTTTTTTTGGATTGTGACCCCATTGGAAAGATCTTCCTCTACTTCCTGTGGCTCCTGTACAATAGATGGAAGCTTTGGTAGTCACAAGGACAGAAAAGACACGGATGGCAATAAAAAGGTTGTCAAAAGTTCCAACCAGGGTACCGGCAAGAACCGATAGTTTTGGTCAAGTACTTGCCGATGCCGAGTACCAATACCTTTGTGGTGTGATTTCAGCCTATAGAAAATGAATGGGCTCAAATCGCACCACAAAGAATCGCATGCGGTCTCCCCCACCTCTCCTTGTGAACCTAGTATAAAAAGACAGGGAAGCAGCCAGGGCCATGGATAAGGGGGTACCACCAGTCCTCCTATATGGGGCCCAGCCAGCAGGGGGCCCAGACAGCTGGGTGAATATGATGTGGGCAGGGATCGGAGGGTACGACGAGGGGAAAATTACTGGAACTGATCCCCTGTTCGTCCCTCTCTGCAGCAGATGGAATACGGCTTGTTCTCCTTTCCCTCCCGTTGGCTTTTAGCTTCTGCAGAGAGAGCCATACAGGTGATTGGTTATTTACTGGACCCCCCCCCCCACCCGCCGCCTAACCCATCACCCTACCAGTGCATCATATGTTTCCTACCAGGCCGCCCTGTGTGCTCCCACCCCCGCAGTGCTGCGAGCTTCCCAACTTCCCACCAGCAACTTCAAGCACACAGTAGGATCCTTCAGGATCCAGTAAATATTTCTCATTTACCAGCCCTTTCTTTTCCTGAATGAACACAATGAGTAATCAGTACAAATCACTCATTGTGTTCATTCATAACTGAAGCATAGTAAACAGGGGCCCCTGTTAGGTTGGCTGTATAGTGCCCCGTGGTTTCTAACAGCAGCCCTGGAAGCGCCATCTAAGTACAGCAATGGGTAAAGAGTTTATTAAAAAATGTCCTAACAACCCACATATTAAAGTACATATCTCGCATATCAAATCCACATCTGCATGGTCATAGTGTCCCCGTCCCGCAGGACCTGCCAATGATGGAAAACCATGGCCACTTGCAGTGCTCACAGGGCTGGAGGAGATATATAGGCGGTCTGCCCCCAAGCTGACATTACTTCTGCCCTATACCCACCTGTGAGCTCCAAGCTGGTTTACAAGGGTCCCGGAACTTCCTACATCTCCTCCAGCCCTTGAGCACTGCAAGTGGCCGTGGTTTTCCATCATCGGCAGGTCCCGTGGGACGGGGACACTATGACCATGCAGATTTGGATTTGACATGCATGATATGTGCTCTTAACATGTGAGTTGTTAGAAAATTTTTTAATAAACTGTTTGCCCATTGCTGCACTTAGATGGCGCTTCCCTCTCTTTCTATAAGAAACCGCATGAGATTCAGACAGGAAACGTATCACATTCCTGTTCAAATCACCTGATTCTTGCAGTGCGATTCAAGCCCATTCATTTAGTAAGGACTCAAATCGCACCGCAAAGGTATCTGTTTCAGGTATTGGAGCATTTGCAAGAGTACAAGTAACCATGCAAATACTCTGTATCGGTGCAACCTAGTTTAACCCTTTCCCCGCTCTACTAAATATGTTTTTTTGCTTTTGTCTGTTTTTTTCCCTTTGTGAAGATTTGCTATTACATCCTTTTGTGTTATGACTTATAGGAAATTGGGTGCTGATTGAACGATATGGACATATAGACCTGTTTCGGCCGCAGTTGCACTTGAAGAAAACAATTCCAATCAAACCTGACAAGTTCTCTTTAAAGTATATCAAAACCCCAAAATATATTTTATAATGAAGAAATTAGAGCCCCTGTAGAGTTTTTATTGCAGTCTGGGCCCCAGTTAGTTCTATGGATTTATTTATAAAACAATTGTTGCCTGAATGTCAGAAGCATTTGTAAAAGCTGAACGAAATGTCACCGTAATTTTTCTAAGAGACTAATGTCTGTATTGTCAGCTCCATCTAGTGGGCAAAACTGCGGTACACTTTTTCTACCATACCTCAATGAGAGAAAATACACCACATTTTGGCCATTAGATAGAGCTGATGATACAGGAATTAATCCTTTAGAAAAAGTAGAGTAACATTTCATCAACTTACACAAATACCTCTGACCTTCATGCAATGAATGCTTTACAAATAATGTTGGAATACAATTTTCATGTATTTTTGTACAACTATTTCAGTATTCAGTAGAGATATATTCTTCAACCAGTAGATGGCAGTGTTTTTTTTTTAAGTTTGTAGCTGCATCTATGACTATATTCTTTTTTGTTTCTCTGTAGTAAAGTTCCTGCTTCATGTTAGCAGAGAAGCAGCAAATAAACACATGTGGACTGTGCACTGTCTGTTCTGTAAGGCTACCCATATGTTTAAATATATTTTAAAAATATTCTTCCGAAATATACTATATATATATATATATATATATATATATATATATACTGCATGTTGAAATGTATTTTTATTACAAAATATATGAAAAATATTTTTAAAGATACATTTCAAATATGCTGTATGTCTTTAAAAATACAAATCTACATTTTTGTAATGCATTTACAAATATATGTAAAATATATGTTAAAATTACTTTTTTATATGTTAAAAAAAATCGGAAGAATATATTTAAGAAAAAATATATTCTTAAAAAATATATATTTTTAAAATATGTTCTTCAGATTTTTTTAATATAAAAAAGTTATTTTAACATATATTTTACATATATTTGTAAATGCATTACAAAAAATGCAGATTTGTATTTTTAAAGGCATACAGTACGTTTGAAATGTATTTTTAGAAATATTTTTCATATATTTTGTAATAAAAACACATTTCAACATGCAGTATATATATATAGTGAAGGAAATAAGTATTTTATCCCCTGCTGATTTGGAATGTTTGCCCACTCACAAAGAAATGATCAGCCTAAAAATCGAATGTTCGGTGTATTGACAGAATATCAACAAAAATTGAAAAGAAATGCATGTCTAATAAATGATGACTGATTTGCATTCATGAGGGAAATACGAATTTGATCCCCTATCATTCAGCAGATTTCTGGCTCCCAGGTGTCTTTCATACAGGTAACAAGCTGAGATTAGAATCGGTCTGTAACCTCCCTGGCGGTATGATTCCTTCCGATTTTTTGTGCTGAAAGCGGTACCATTTTTTCGCATGGAAATAGTTTTTTTATTTGTAGGCTGTAATTTTTAGGAAAATTTCCCCACAAAAATATCATTATCACTCAATTCTGTAAGTGGTTCTGATTTACTATCGCTGTTTCTCTAGCCGGTCTAAAAACCGCTTTTGACGTAAAGGGACGCTTTTTGGACGCCATGGACTTTTCTAAGTTTCCAGGCAGAAAGAACAGACAAAATGCAAGCAGGGCGCCGGACAAAGCACTCCGAACAATATGTATATGAAATGGGATGAAACAGCAATGTTTTACTATTTAAAAGCTGAAAAAAAAAAAAAATGACATTTTTTTAAATTTTCCCACCGCCCGCGGTGCCCGTACGTCCCGTCGTCACTGGGACCGGAACACAGAAGCCGGATGCCGGCATCGGGGGAGGAGATGGCTGGGGACGCTGCAGGGGACACATCGGGGAACGAAGGACAAGGTAAGTGCTGCAGGGACCCCCAGAGCAGCGCCGCATGGTAAGCCCGAGTGTAGCTCGGGGTTACCGCTTGTGGTATAGAGATTCTACCCCGAACTACACTCGGGAAAACCGCCAGGGAGGTTAAAGGGAGTGCTGCTAATCTCATTGTGTTACCTGTATAAAAGACACCTGTCCACAGGAGCAATCAAACAATCAGATTCCAAACTCTCCACCATGACAAAGACCAAAGAGCTGTCCAAGGATGTCAGGGACAAGATTGAAGACCTAAACACACAGGCTGGACTGGGCTACCAAACTATGGCCAAGCAGCTTGGTGAGAAGGTGACAACAGTTGGTGCAATCATTCGCAAATGGAAGAAACACAAAACAAGTGTCAGTCTCCCTAGGTCTGGTGCACCATGCAAGATCTCACCTCGTGGAGTGTCAATGATCATGAGAACAGTGAGGAATCATCCCAGAACTACACTGAGGATCTTGTCAACGATCTCCAGGCCGCTGGGACCACGGTCACCAAGAAAACAATTGGTAACACACACTAGGACTGAAATCCTGCAGTGCCCGCAAGGTCCCTCTGCTCAAGAAAGCACATGTCCAGGCCTGTCTGAAGTTTGTCACTGAACATCTGAAAGATGCAGAGGAGGACTGCTTGAAAGTGTTGTGGTCAGATGAGACCAAAATCAAGCTCTTTGGCATCAACTCAACTCGCCGTGTTTGGAGGAGGAGGAATGCTGCCTATGACCCCAAGAATACCATCTCAACTATCAAACATGGTGGTGGAAACATTCTTCTTTGTGGGTGTTTTTTCTGCTAAGAGGACAGGACAACTGCACCGCATCAAAGGGACGATGGATGGGACAATGTACCATCAAATCTTGGGTGAGAACCTTCTTCCCAAAGCCAGGGCATTGAAAATGGGTTGTGGATGGGTGTTGCAGCATGACAATGACCCAAAACACATGGCCAAGGTAACAAAGGAGTGGCTCGAAAAGAAGAAGCATATCAAGGTCCTAGAGTGGCCTAGCCAGTCTCCAGACCTTAATCCAATTGAAAATCTGTGGAGGAAGCTGAAAGTTCGAGTTGCCAAACACGTCAGCCACCAAACCTTAATGACTTAGAGAAGATCTGCCAAGAGGAGTGGGCCAAAATCCCTTCTGAGATGTGTGCAAACCTGGTGGCCAACTACAGGAAACGTCTGACCTCTGTGATTGCCAACAAGGGATTTGCCACCAAGTACTCAGTCATGTTTTGTGAAGGGGATCAAATACTTATTTCCCTCATGAACATGCAGATCAGTCATCATTTGTTAAACATGCATTTCCTTTGAATTTTTTGTTGCTATTCTGTCTCTCAGTGTTACAATACACCAAACATTCGATCGTTAGACTGATCATTTCTTTGTGAGTGGGCAAACATTTGAAATCAGCAGGGGATCAAATACTTATTTCCTTCACTGTATATATATGTAGGTATATACAGAATCTCTAACAGGTTATGGGCCCAGACGCACAGTCATAGCCTTCTACAGTAAAAGAAGTGCAAGATACAGCAACAGAAAGAAGACTTCATCAGAATAAAAGAAAACGGCCAGCAACATGGCTGCAACAAAGCTTTCATTTGCAAACCTGACAAACCAGAACTACCAATCTTGGAAATTCAAGATGCAAATGCTGTTAATAAGAGAAGGTTTCAAGGAACTGTGTAAATGAAGTCAGGCCAGAACACCCTTCAGATGAATGGATAGAGAAAGATCAGAAAGCTCAGTGCACAATCTTTGTAAGCATAGAAGATTATTAAATCATACATATATGTAAATGTGAAAATGTGGGAAGGATTACTAAAGGTGCATGAAAGAACTAATCTCAGCAGTAAACTGTATTTGATTTCAAAGTGATACCAAACCAAGCTGATGAAAGGCCAGGATATGCAGGATTACATAAGGCACACCTTGGAAATGGTTGAACTCTTGAGAGGTATAGGAAAAAATAAAAGAATTTCTAACAAATAGACCCCCCCTGGTAACTATTGAATCTCAAAAGTGAGGAAAAATCCTACATTTTGAGTTGCCACCAGGACAAGATTAGAGGGTAAATCGTCCAAAGCAGCCTTTCTCAACTTTTTCAATACAGAGGAACCCTTGAAATAACTTTCTGGTCTCGGTGAACTCCTACTATATCTACAACTCATGATACATGTGATGATGGTCAGTGGGGAGAATGCTCCTTACACTTGTGGTCATTGGGAAGAATTAGCTCCTTACGGAGAGCTAAAAAGATCAATGGTGTCAGTGGGAGCAGAAACTGCTCATAGCTCAAGGAATCCCTACCAACCTCTGGAGAAACCCTGGTTCAAAGCAAACACCTCCTCTGCTCACAACTGTCCAAGAGGAGATTTACCCTGACTTTAACCCTTCTGTACTTTATTCAAAATTATCTTTAGATACACTTAAAAGGTAAGAAGACAGATCTAGAAAAGTATATCTTACAGCGCATTTCACAGGTCGGAAGGACAGAAGGTGTTCAGTTCTGTAGCCGGTGTTTCCACTCCATGCTTCCCAGCGAGGGTAGTCTCCTTTTTCTAGGATAAACTGCTGCCCTTGGAATTCTGGATACTCAAAGCCGACCCATCTGACAAAGAAGCAGAGACAATGTGAATGAGGGCCAGTTGTGGTCTAATCCCACCTACACTTGGATGGGAAGAATGTCCTTGTATGAGATGGACATCCTTCCCCACTTTCTATACCAGGGAGTCTCCAAATGTTCTAAGTAAAGGGCCAGTTTATTAGTAGGGCCTGACTGTGGCCAATGGGAGTAGATCATGTCTTGGTGTCAGTGGGAGTTAATAGTGCCCTAATATTGATGTTAGTGGGAGGAATAGTGCACCATCATTGGTGTCAGTGGGAGGAATAGTGCCCCATCGTTGGTGTCAGTGGGAGAAATAGTGCCCCATCATTGGTATCAGTGGGAGGAATAGTGCACCATCGTTGCTGTCAGTGGGAATAATAGTGCCACACCATTGGTGTAAGTGGGAGAATAGTGCCCCATCTTTGATGTCAATGGGAGGAATAGTGATCTATGGTTGGTGTCAGTGGTAGGAATAGTGCCCTATCATTGCTGTCGGTGGGAGGAATAGCGTCATATCATTGGTTTCAGTGGGAGGATAAGTGTCCCAGCATTGGTGTCAGTGGTAGGAACAGTGCCCCATCATTGCTGTCAGAGGGTATAATAGTGCTCTATCTTTGGTGTTTGTGGGAGGAATAGTGCCCCATCATTGCTGTCAGTTGGGAGGAATAGTGCCCCATCATTGCTGGCAGTGTGAGGAATAGTGCCCCATCATTGCTGTCAATGGGTATAATAGTGCTGCATCATTGGTGTAAGTGGGAGGAATAGTGTCCCATGGTTGGTGTCAGTGGGAGGAATAGTGCCCCATCATTGGTATCAGTGGGAGGAATAGTGCCCCATCATTGGTGTCAGTGGGAGGAATAGTGCTCCATCATTGGTTTCAGTGGGCGGAATAGCACCCCATCATTGGTGCCAGTGGTAAGAATAGTGCCCCCTCATAGCTGCCAGTGGGTATAATAGTGCCTATCATTGTGTCAGTGGGAGGAATAGTGCCCCTATCATTGGTGTCAGTGGGAGGAATAGTGCCCCATCATTGGTATCAGTGGAAGTAATAGTGCCCCACTGTTGGTGTCAGTAGGAGGAATAGTGCTTCATCATTGGTGTCATTGAGAGGAAAAGTGCTCCATCATTGGTGTCAGTGGGAAGAATAGTGCTTTGTTGTCAATGTCAGTGTCAGGAACTATGCCCCATCTTTGCTGACAGTAGGGGGGAATAATGGCCCAAGGGCTAGATACAAGCTAGCAAAGGGACGCATTTGGCCACAGTTTGGAGACCACTGCTCTATACTTTTCCTTTTCTAAACATGGTACGCTTCAGTCAATACTCTCAAGATTTCCACACGTGTTGGTCTATTGACCACTATGCTGGGTAACCAGGCTTTAATAGCTCCTTGGCCTTGATAGCAATTAATTCTTTCTTTGGAAGGTTCATAACCTGTCCTCCTTTAGTGGAACTGTCCCTCAAAAAAAAGAACCCATCCAGACCACTGGCTTTACTACCTATAATTGCAAAACTTCCCAAACAATCTGAGATTTCATACAGACAGACAAAGGTTGGACGGAGTGACAGTGAATAGCTGGTACGGGACTTTATGCGTCCCTCTAGATGTTGTACTGCCTTCCTGAAAAATGCCGCCCAATGCACATGCCTTGTTAGCTTCACAGTAAATATACCCCTGGTCCCTTCAATCAAGGACTGGGCAATAGAGGTCAACTGCTAAATGCAGATGGAGGAACTGCACATTTATACCCCAGATGTCTGAAATTTATTATAAACCGGGAACATCTGGATTGCCTCTGTGAACTCCAACCACATCTGTATTTGTTGGAGGGTTTTCAGACCTCAGAGCAGCTCCAATGCATGCACTTCAGCTCTCTAATCACCCCCAGTGCATGCAGCTCAGATCAGCCCCAGTGCATGCACTTCAGACCTCAGATCTGCTCCAATGCATGCACTTCAGATCTTTGATCCCCCCCAGGGCACGCAGCTCAGAGCAGCCCCAATGCATGCACTTTAGACCTCAGATCTGCTCCAATGCTTGCACTTCAGATCTCTAATCACCCCCAGTGCATGCAGCTCAAATCAGCCCCCAATGCATGAACTTCAGACCTCAGATCAGCTCCAATGCATGCACTTCGGATCTCTAATCCTCCCCAGTGCAGGCAGCTCAAATCAGCCCCAATGCATGAACTTCAGACCTCATATCACCCCCAGCGCATGCACTTCAGACCTCAGATCAGCTCCAATGCATGCACTTCAGACCTCAGATCAGCCCCAATGCATGCACTTCAGACCTCATATCACCCCCAGCGCATGCACTTCAGACCTCATATCACCCCCAGCGCATGCACTTCAGACCTCATATCACCCCCAGCGCATGCACTTCAGACCTCATATCACCCCCAGAGCATGCACTTCAGACCTCATATCACCCCCAGCGCATGCACTTCAGACCTCAGATCAGCTCCAATGCATGCATGTCAGACCTCAGATTAGCCCCAGTGCATGAACTTTGGATCTCAAATCACCCCCAGTGCACACAATTCATACCTCAGATCAATCCCAATGCATGCACTTCAGACCTCAGATCACCCCCAGCGCATGCACTTCAGACCTCATATCACCCCCAGCGCATGCACTTCAGACCTCAGATCAGCTCCAATGCATGCATGTCAGACCTCAGATTAGCCCCAGTGCATGAACTTTGGATCTCAAATCACCCCCAGTGCACACAATTCATACCTCAGATCAATCCCAATGCATGCACTTCAGACCTCAGATCCCCCAGCGCATGCACTTCAGACCTCATATCACCCCCAGCGCATGCACTTCAGACCTCAGATCAGCTCCAATGCATGCATGTCAGACCTCAGATTAGCCCCAGTGCATGAACTTTGGATCTCAAATCACCCCCAGTGCACACAATTCATACCTCAGATCAATCCCAATGCATGCACTTCAGACCTCAGATCACCCCCAGCGCATGCACTTCAGACCTCATATCACCCCCAGCGCATGCACTTCAGACCTCAGATCAGCTCCAATGCATGCATGTCAGACCTCAGATTAGCCCCAGTGCATGAACTTTGGATCTCAAATCACCCCCAGTGCACACAATTCATACCTCAGATCAATCCCAATGCATGCACTTCAGACCTCATATCACCCCCAGCGCATGCACTTCAGACCTCAGATCAGCTCCAATGCATGCATGTCAGACCTCAGATTAGCCCCAGTGCATGAACTTTGGATCTCAAATCACCCCCAGTGCACACAATTCATACCTCAGATCAATCCCAATGCATGCACTTCAAACCTCAGATCAGCCCCAATGCATACAATTCAGACCTCAGATCAGCCCCAATGCACAAAATTCAGACTTCAAACCAGCTCCAGTGCATGCACTTCAGACCTCAGATGAGAAGTTCATTGTTAGAGGTTTTTATACACTCTAAGGCCGCCTAGCCTGGAGGTCAACTTGATCTTCTTGGGATTACCAGTCAAAGTATCAGAGCTGGTAGCTATTCTAAGGAGACTCTGATAACACAGGAGGGAGATATACTGGAATACTCACGGTCCATTTTCCACCTTGATGGAACGGATTTTGCGGAACCCTCGCTCCATAATGTTGGGGCACTCCATGAGGAATTCACATCTTTTGCCCTGGAAGTTCTCCTCCTCCCAGACAGTGACTTTCCACTGACCCAGAGTCTCCATTGGCTGGCTGGTCATTCTGCTCACTGCGGGGAAAGAAGCATATGATACTCAAGTGGCATTATGCAAAGTACCCCTCACCACGATCAGGTCTACGGCATAAAGAGCAACCACTTATAGCTGGTAGTAGTTGGTCACCTTCAACTGGACTAGTTCTGTAATGTTGAAGGCATTTTGTAGCTTCTCTAAGCCACTTCTTCACTTCTAATGAGCATCAGGAAGATATACCAATCATCCCTGGGAAGGGGGAGTCATGCAACCCCATCTGCCTTCTACAAATAATGCCCTTTTAGCATCTCTACCCCAGTGATTTGGCAACATTTCACGTCATGAACCATTGAACTCAAATAACTAACACCTATGCAGATGCCAATACCAAGGATGGCATAATGTAACAACAACTGTTCTTGGACAATCAACATCTGTCTTGATGCATTCCATGGTGGTTGGATGAAGGTGTTGGTGCTACCCGAATGGATATAAATGTTGGAGTATCTTCCTGACACCCATTAGAAATGAACGAGTGGCATCCCCTACCAATAATCCGAAAAAAAACTATTCTCATTTGCACTGGAGTCCTGATGAAGGGGAGTGTGTGAACCCTGAAATGCGTTGATTTCGTATTCTCTTGATTACTCAATTAAAAAATCCCTCAGGACTCTATCAACATTGGTGTGGTGCCCATAGTGCTTCCTACATATCAGGCTTTATTGTCAGGGCAGCACAGTGGCTAAATGTTTAGCACTTCCACCTGGCAGTACTAGGGTTGTCGGTTCGAATCCCAACCACGGCACCACCTGCCTGGAGTTTGCATGTTCTCCCTGTGCCTGCGTGGGTTTCCTCCAGGTACTCCGGTTTCCTCCCACACTCCAAAGACATGTTGGTAGGTTAATCAGCTCCTGTGTAAATTGTCCCTAGTATGTGTATGTATGAATGTGAGTTAGGGACCTTAGATTGTACACCCCTTGAGGGTTAGGGACTGATGTGAATGTACAATATATATGTAAAGCGCTGCGTAAATTGACAACGCTGAAAGTAAATCTGTGTTCCTCTCAATTTGTTTTGATGATCATTGTCTACAGGACAGGTGCTGACAGAGGTAATCCAACATTTTACAGTTTTCACAGGAACAGGAGGTGAGGGTAATTCTTCCACTGGGGACACCTGTCCTGGAGACAGTGGTGTAAAGCTGACCATTATTTGTCCGGTTCCTTATGAGCCAGCTGACATTTGAGGTCTTAGTGGCCCTGTCAACCCCCTACCACTTCACATACTTCGATCTGAAAGGGCAAATAATCGTTGGGTGAACAGCGGCTGCATCTAATTAGATGCAGGTATTCTGATTAAGGTGTTCAGGTATTCTGACAGCTGCAGGTACGGCTGTCAGAAGAGAGACGCTGGCAGGGCAGATTCCTTTAACCATGCTGTTTAGTGTGGACAAGGGAATAAAGAGATCTTACAGTGTAGGTCCAGTTTAAGGGCTTTCCACTTACTTTGTAGACAATCCTTTTTGCTTCCTGTTGCATCTGTGGGACAAGAAGTAAAGGGAAATTTCCCAAACAGACCCAGCAACTGGAAAAAAAAAAAACTGGCAGAGATTCTAACCCTTCCATACTCTATAATAAAAATAGGCAAGAGATACACTTGTGCAGTCTGCCATTCTGAAATAATTGCCAAAGAAGCCACCAAGATGACAGCTGGCTGTTTTCTTCTATAGAAATGCTAAACTGGAGGACAACTCATTACAGGGAAATATTGATCCCCTCTCACATTTTATACATCTTCTATGACAACCTCTGGGATCCTCAACCCGTCCATCCCGGGGAATTGTTAAAAAGTCCCTTACACAGAAACCAACTTGTGACCAGGGGTGGACTGACCATTTGGAAACTCGGGCACTGCCCGAGGGCCCAGGGTCAGTAGGGGGACCCATGAGATGCCCCTGGTACCTTTTTCATAGGCTTTTTTGAGTTTGGGCAAGGACACAGGGGCCCCATGATCCCCTATTGCCCGGGGGCCCCATGAATTGTCAGTCCACCCCTGCTTGTGACCGAAACTAAATGGATATTGTTATCTGGCAGTTAACTGTCAGACGATTGGTTTTCACACTTCAACTACATGTGTTTGCGAACCTGAGTTGTGTATTTTCCTGTCTATTATGTTCTTGTCAATAGGTCAGGCCATGCAAATATTTCAATTCCAGATACACAACCAGGCCTCTCAATGTAACAATGAACTCTTCCTGCTTGTTACCGGCCGTGGGAATCCACTGGACAAGAAGGTGTTAATACAAGTAGACATTGTTTCTTTGCATTCGTGTTGATTAACGAAATTCAAAAATATATATTTTTTTATTATTGTACATTGTAATTCAATAAAAAATTATATGAAGTATGTACTGTAAATATTTGTTTACTATATAAATATATTAAATATAATATATATTTGATTAAGTGTCTTAACACATGCAGTATCCTTATCAATCAATGGAGATCCTCATTAACCAATTCAATACCGGGCACTTTTACACCTTCCTGCCCAGGCCAGTTTTCAGGTTTCAGCTCTCTCACACTTTGAATGACAATTGCGCGGTCATACTACATTGTACCCAAACTAACATTTTATCATTTTCTTCACACAACTAGAGCTTTCTTTTGGTGGTATTTAATCACCCCTGGGGTTTCTATTTTTTGCTAGATTAACAAAAAAAGACCAAAAATTTTGAAAAACACACGTTTTTCTTTGTTTCTGTTATAAAAGTTTGCAAATAAATAATTGTTCTTCATAAATTTAGGCCGAGATGTATTCTGCTACATGTCTTTGGTGAAAATAACCCAAATTAGGATGTATTATTTAGTTTGTAGGAAAGTTATAGAGTTCACAAACTATGGGATAGATCTGAAAATTCATCAGTCCTGAAGTACTGACAGCCAATCTAATTTCTTGAGGTCCGAGAATGTCAGAACAGTACAGATATCCCCCAAATGACCCCTTTTTGTAGAGTACACAGTCCGACGTACTTCATAAGAGGCATGGCGAGTTTTTTGAAGTTGTATTTTTTTTTGTCATAATTTTTTGGAAAAATGAAAAAATTAAAAAATTTAGTTTCACTATTTTTTTTTACATATTGTCACCAGTGCAGTACAGCGTCATCATATAACTGGCATGGCGGTGATCAGGGACACTGACTGGTGACAGTATGAAAAAAAAAAAAAATATATATATATATATATATATATATATATATATATATATTTATTTATTTTTTAAATTATTTTTTAAATTATTTTTTTATTAAATTTTTTTCTTTTTTTTTAAGATTTTTTTTTCATATTTCACTATAACCAAAGTAGTACAATGTTACCATAGTAACATTGTACTAGTTTGGGGAAGTGATCAGTATTTTTTTTTTTTTTTACACAATTTGCTTATAGCAAAGAATTACTTTGCTATAAGCAAGCATTTACCTGAATGACATCGATTCATTCAGGGTTTTGTTTTTTTTTTTGTGCTTAGCTGTGATTTGGCTACAGCTAATCACATGACATGTGCATGTGATTAGCTGTGACCATTCACAGCTAGACACTAGTATACAATGGATGGCATGAATTAAGCCATCCATTGTATACAACTGTCATGTGACCTGCTGTGATTGGTCACAGCAGGTCACATGGTACCGGCAACGGGGGCTGATACTCAGATCTGTCATCGGCTGTGTCCGAGGTACACGGCCGGTGACAGATCACGCCGCTGCGCGGCTGTGCAGTAGCGCAATCTGCGCATGTGCGGGAGGACGCCATATGGCGTCCACCCGGAACGCTGATCACATTTGCCAGATGCCATTCAGCCATTGGGCGGGCAGCAAATGGTTAATCATGACACTTTGCGGATGTTTCCATGCCATCATGCGACTACCCGCTTCCTGATGATGTGAATATGAAAAATTAATTTATTAAGTATGTACTGGAAATGTGTGTTTATATAAAATACATATATATATTTCCAGTATATTTACTATCATGTGTTAAAATAAAAAAAAATTAAAAGACAATTATAAAATAAATAAATACATTTTTATATATAAACAATTATTATTATTCTTCAATACAAATGTCTGTGAAGTATGTACTGTATAAATAGAGGACGTCGATGACGAAACGCGTAGGGCGGAGCCTGTGGATGGGACGTCATTACGTTCCCGAGCCGCCTGCGCATGCGTGTTTGAGGCTGGGTTCGTTTTTTGTCCACGCTGTCATTGCTGGTGTTGGCTAGGACACCTCTAGTTGTAAGTGCATTACTTTTAAATAAAAAAGTCATTTAAATACTGCACCATGAGTTCTCTATTTTCTTATACCCCATTTGGTCTGGATATCTGAGGAAAAGGCCTTTGAGAAGTGGATCCATCTTGCTGATTGTTCCCTGCAGAGTATTGCTCCTTGAATAGCCAGTGTCATCAACAGAGTATGACATCCTTCCGCACAACATTGCTCCCAGAGCAGAAAGCGTTTTATGCTGGTTTATAATTTAATCAGCATATCGCTCTGGTGAGTTCATTCATTTTATTTGGTGGTGGATTTACACATGGTGATTATTGTTGGATACGAAAAAGTTTCTTCATTTCAATATGGATTTTGAACTTTATAATTTGTATATTTTTTGTCACAAAATATTATTGTATTATATATAGAAATTTTTTTTTTTTTTTTTCACTTAATTTTTTTGTCACAATATATATTTGGTTTAAGAAGCGCAACCTTTTTATATTTACAATTTTATGCACCGTTTATAGGTTAGGTTTGCAGCTGGTTTATATTTATATATATTTTTTTGATTGATGTGATATATATAATTTTTTTGTGTGGCGCTTCCCTAAAAATAATTTTTGACAACCGGTGAACATGCCCTTTTCTATACGTATGCAACTTTTTAATTAACTATAA